TAAGAAACCATTCTTAAAAATTTTTTCATATAAAAACTGTAAAAGACGATTACATTGATAGGTTTTAAGTATAAGTATTGTAAAATATTAAGCTTAAAAATACTAAACGTTTTAAAAATTAAAATATAATTATTTCTTTGTAGCTCAATGGTAGAGCAAATGGCTGTTAACCATTCGGTTGTAGGTTCAAATCCTATCAAAGAAGTTTTATATTTTAGGTCGAATAGCCAAGTCAGGTTTACGGCAGTAGTTTGCTAAACTATCAGTTAATTTTATTAACTCGTGGGTTCAAATCCCACTTCGACTTATTTTCTTAATAATTAATAAGATGATGTAGTTTAATGGTAGAGCGTGGGAATCATAATCCTAATGTTGTAGGTTCAAATCCCTACCCATCATTATTATTTCTTAAATAAAAATACCATTATTATTATTATTTTAAAACGGAAGGTAGGCATAGTCTGGCCTAATGCATCTGTTTTGGGAACAGAACGATCAAAGGTTCAAATCCTTTTTTCTTCCGAAAATTGGGTAATAAGATGAGAATAGAGTAATAGGTAACTTATCAGGGCTCATAAATCTGAAGATGGTAGGGTTCAAGTCCTGCTCCTCACTCATTTCATTTAATAAAAATTTTATGATTCAAATTTCAAACCTAAATTAAAAGTAAACGGATAATAGCGGTATTAAAATAGGACAATGTTTAAAAATTTATAAAAAAAAAGTAGGAAAAATTGGTGATACAATTTTATAATTTCTGCAACAGAAAATTACCGTTTAAATCAAAAAAAAAAAAAGTTAAAATAATTAAAGGGAGATTTATTTTAAAGCTTTAAATTATTCACACAACATATCAAAAAAAAAGTACTATAGGTAATTTAATTAAATTTGATAAAAATTGTATAATTATTTTAAATAATCAAAATAAACCTTTAGGGACACGTATCTTCGGTCCAATTACTTCTGAAATTTAGAAAACAAAAAAAATTTCAAAATATTATCATTAGCTTCAAATATTTTATAAAAATCTATGGAAAAAAATTTACAAAATCATTATCAAAATATTACTGTTTACGATCTTTTAACAAAATTAAATCTTAAAAATATATTTGAAATTACTAAAATTACTAAAATTTGTTTAAATATTGGTTTTAAAAATGCAAATATTGAAAAAAAAAAATTAATTAATATAATTTTACTTTTAAAATTAATAACGAATCAAAAACCTATAATCACAAAATCAAAAAAAAATAATATTTTTTTAAAAATAAAAAAAAATTCAATTATTGGTTGTAAAATAACTTTAAGAAAAAAAAATATTTTTAATTTTTTAGCAAAAATTTTAATTTTCATTTTACCAAATTTAACTAAAATAAATTTTAATTTTACAAATAAAAATATTTTTAATTTTCAAATTCAAAATGTCTTACAGTTTTTCGAATTAAAAACAGAATTCTTAAAATTTAAAGATATACCTCCAATAGATGTATCAATTCATACAAATGCAAAAAATAATAATGAATTATTTTTATTATTAAATTCATTTTTAATAATAAAAAAAATAATTTTTTAGCAAAAATTAGCTCCAATGGTAGAGTATAACCTTGCCCAAGGTTAATGTTGAGGGTTCGAATCCCTTTTTTTGCCTTTATATATTTTAAATAAATGGACCCAAAGGCGGTATTTGGTATTTCCATTAAATTTAATAAGGGAATAATAAAAGAATTGACATTTATTTTGTGATTATAGATTAATTGGTAAATCATTTTCCTTCCAAGTAAATATTGTGGGTTCGAGTCCCACTAATCACATATTAGGAGAAATGGCTGAGTGGTTAAAGGTGGCAGACTGTAAATTTGTTGAAGTAATTTCTACGTAGGTTCGAATCCTACTTTCTCCAAAAATATATTTTTATATTTATACGTAATTTTATAAATACAGGTAACTGTGATTTTTTTATAATTAAAATAAATATTTATTATTTATATTTTTCACAAGAAAATAATAAAAATATATTTAAGTACATTAAGGGTACAGCTTTTTGCTCTATTTTTAATTCAAATATTGCTGAATGTTCCTGTAGGGAATCATGTGATAGTAACTTTTATATGAAAGAGAAGGAGTTGCACCTTTTAGATAGAAAAAAAGCACCATTATTTCAGACTATTCTAAATAATTTAAAAGATAGTAATAGGGAAATATACCCTTTCGCCTTGTTGTAGTTTTAATTCTTTAGCCTATTATTCAAATAATGTGGAATATGACATAACTGGCAGATATTTTAATAGATGTAAAATAGGCAATAGATTATTATATATATCGATGACTACTAAAAAGACTATAAATTTATGTTTAAAATTATCTAATAATGAATTTGCAATTCAAAGAATGATGCTTTATTTAATTTACATGAAACCTATCCAGAGGGAACATCTAGTATTTTGTTAAGAGGAGTCTGCTATTATTTTAACCAGTACACCCTTTTTTAAGAGATATTGATGAAAATAAAAATTAAAAAAAACATTTATAATAAATAAATGTTTTTTAAATATAATTTAAATAAAAATAATAGAAATTTTTTATCCTTTAAGACAATATAAAATGAGAATTAATATAAGAATGTTATATTATTAAAATTTAAATCTTTGTTATTTTAAAAATATATATTAAATCATTAATATAAAAATTAAATAGAGTTTGATCCTGGCTCAGAATAAATGCTATCGGTATGCTTAACACATGCAAGTTGAATGTTTTTAAAACATAGCGAACGGGTGAGTAACACGTGAATTATCTACCTTTTAATTCGGAATAATTAGTTTTCTAAAAATTCGGAATAAATAAATTAAAGTTTTTTAACGTTAAAAGATGAGTTTGCGCAAGATTATGGTAGTTGGTAGTTTAAAAGACTACAAAGCCTATTATCTTTAGCTGGTTTGAAAGAATGATCAGCCACATTGGGACTGAGACACGGCCCAAACTTTTTTAAAGGCAGCAGTGGGGAATTTTGGACAATGAGCGAAAGCTTGATCCAGCAATACCGAGTGAGTGATGAAGGCTAATTAGGTTGTAAAGCTCTTTCATTAAGGAGGAAAATGACAGTACTTAAAAAAGAAGTTCCGGCTAATACCCGTGCCAGCAGCCGCGGTAATTCGGGAGGAGCGAGCATTATTCGGAATGATTAGGCGTAAAGGGTTTGTAGGTGGTTTTCTAAGTTGAAAGAAACAAATTAAAGCTCAACTTTATACATTTTTTCAAAACTGATAAACTGGAGTATAAATAGAGGATAATGGAATTTCTATTGGAGTGATAAAATACGTTGATAATAGAAGGAAGACCAATGGCGAAGGCAATTATCTGGGTATATACTGACACTGAGAAACGAAAGCTTGGGTAGCGAACGGGATTAGATACCCCGGTAGTCCATGCTGTAAACGATGAGTGCTAATATTTAGAATTTTTAGATATAATAGCTAACGCGTTAAGCACTCCGCCTGAAAAGTATAATCGCAAGATTGAAATTCAAAGGAATTGACGGGAGTCTACACAAGCGGTGGAGCATGTGGGTTAATTCGATAATACGCGCAGAACCTTACCAACTCTTGCTAATTTTTATATAAAATATTATATAAAAAACAGGCGTTGCATGGTTGTCGTCAGCTAGTGTTGTGAAATGTTTGGTTAAATCCTTTAACGAGCGCAACCCCTATTGTTAGTTGCTATTTTATTAAAAAAAATAAAAGCACTCTAACAAAAAAATTAATGATAGGTTAATGGAAGGTTGGGGATGACGTCAAAGTCTTCATGGCCCTTATGAGTTGGGCTACACACGTGCTACAATGATAATTACAATGAGAAGCAATAATGATCAAAGTTGGAGCAAATCTTTAAAAATTATCCTAGTTCGGATTAAGGGCTGAAACTCGCCCTTATGAAGTTGGAATCGCTAGTAATCGCAGAACAGCATGCTGCGGTGAATATGTTACTGGACTTTGTACACACCGCCCGTCACATCAGGGAAGTTGATTATTTTTAAAATAATTTTTAATTATTTAATATTATTATGTAATTTTTTAATTATAATAATTTATAATTTATATTAAATAAATTAAAATTCCTAAAAAGTAATTAGTAACTTTGATGAAGTCGTAACAAGGTAGTCGTAGGGGAACCTGTGTCTGGAAGAGATCTTTAAACATTCTTAAATTAATTTTCAAAAATATAAGGAAAATAGGTTTAATTGGTAAAATCATAGTCTCCAAAATTATTGTTATGGGTTCAAGTCCCATTTTTCCTGTTTTATTTAATTTATTAAATTATTATAAATCAAAAAAATTTTATAATATCTGAAATTAATTAAATTCAAGTTATAAAAATAAAATTTTATTTAAAATACTTTTTAACAAAAGGGGAATTTAAATTTAGATTTATAATAATTTAATAAATTAAATAGAAATTTTAAAAGAAATTTTAAAATAAATTTAATAAGATTATGCAAAAAAAAATTAAAAATTTTATTCTTATTTTTATTTTTAAGTATAAGCATAAGCATTCTTATCTTATACTTACATAACGTTTTACCTTATATTAATTTAAAAATTATATTTTTATTATTAAAAAACAGAATTAATATCTTTACTCTATGTATAGATGATGACCATTTTCATCCACGTTATATATCAAGTGGGGATTTTAATTTATTAATTACGGAATTATCGGAAGATTTTTCTTAAAAAAAAAAAAAAAATTATAACAAGTTAATTTAAAATAGATGAAAAAAAAATTATAACAAGTTAATTTAAAATAGATGAAAAAAAAATTATAACAAGTTAATTTAAAATAGATGAAAAAAAAATAAAGAGGGATTGTTTTTTTTTTTAAAAAAAATGCATTAATATTATCATAAAGATCAAATTACAGTATAAAAGGGATTTATACCTATAAAATGTTATATAATTATAATAAAATTTTTTAATTTTAAAAATACGATGTTTTAATAGAAATTATTTTTTAAAAATTTTATATTATTTAAGAAAAAAAAATATTTTATTAGTTTTTCTAAATATAAATAATACTATTTATATTTTTTTTTGAATTAAAAAAATTCAATAATATTTAATTTTGTATATATTAAAAAAAAATCAACAATATTATGACAATAACAAATTATATAAATAATCAATTTACTTTTTTAGATATGGCAGAACCTTGGCAATTAGGTTTTCAAGATCCAGCAACTCCAGTTATGGAAGGTATTATTAACTTTCACCATGATTTAATGTTTTTTTTAATTATGATTACTGTGTTTGTTTGTTGGATGTTATTTAGAGTTATTACTCTTTTTGATGAAAAAAAAAATAAAATACCATCAACTGTTGTACATGGAGCTACTATAGAAATTATTTGTGACTTCAATTCCAGCTTTAATTTTATTAATAGTTGCAGTTCCTTCTTTCGCGTTATTATATTCAATGGATGAAGTAATTGACCCAATTATTACTTTAAAAGTAATTGGTAGTCAATGGTATTGGAGTTATGAATATTCAGATAATTTAGAATTTTCAGATGAACCTTTAATTTTTGATAGTTATATGGTACAAGAAGATGATTTAGCTATTGGTCAATTTGAGACTTTTAGAAGTGGATAATCGTGTAGTAGTTCCAACTAATAGTCATATTAGAGTATTAATTACTGCATCAGATGTATTACATTCATGGGCTATACCGTCATTAGGTATAAAATTAGATGCTTGTCCAGGTCGTTTAAATCAAACTTCGATGTTTATTAAAAGAGAGGGTGTTTTTTATGGAACCAAATGTAGTGATAATTTGTGGAGTAAATCATGGATTTATGCCCTATTGTTATAGAAGGCAGTATCATTAGAAGATTATTTAACTTGGTTAAAAAATAAAATTAATTTTGATTTTAATGTATAATAAGTAAAAACATATATGATATTTAAAATCATTGGTATAATTTTTATAGTAATATTATTATTTACAGATATTAAACAAATAATTAACAAAATTAAGCAATTTTTCCATAAATAATGGAAATTAAAAAAGCCAACGCTTTTTTTAATAAAAATATACAATAATTTTGCATTTAAAATAAATTAAAAAAAAAAAATATTCAAAAATGAATTTTCAAAATATAAATAAATGGTCAACAAGATGGCTTTTTTCAACAAAATCATAAAGATATTGGAACTTTATATTTAATTTTTAAGTGCTTTTGCTGGGTGTTGTTTGGTACAACATTTTACTCCGTTTTAATTAAGAATGGAATTAGCACAACCAGCGTAATCAAATTTTTATGGGAAATCATCAATTATATAATCGTTGTTGGTTACCGCACATGCTTTTATTATGGTTTTCTTTTTAGTTATGCCTGCTTTAATCGGTGGTTTTGGTAATTGGTTTATTCCTTTAATGATAGGTGCTCCTGATATGGCTTTTCCTCGTATGAATAATATTAGTTTTTGGTTATTACCTCCCTTCTTTATTATTATTAGTTTCTTCAGCTATCGTTGAATCTGGGGCTGGTACTGGTATGGACAGTTTATCCACCATTATCTAGTGTTCAAGCACATTCAGGACCTTCTGTAGATTTAGCTATTTTTAGTTTACATTTATCAGGTATTTCTTCTTTATTAGGTGCTATTAATTTTATTTCAACAATTTATAATATGAGAGCTCCTGGTTTAAGTTTTCATAGATTACCTTTATTTGTATGGTCTATATTAATTACTGCATTTCTTTTATTATTAACTTTACCTGTACTAGCTGGGGCAATTACTATGTTACTAACTGATAGAAATTTAAACACTTCATTTTATGATCCATCAGGTGGAGGGTGATCCAGTATTATATCAACATCTATTTTGGTTTTTTGGTCATCCAGAGGTTTATGTTTTTAATTTTACCAGCATTTGGTATTATCAGTCAAGTTTCTGCATCTTTTGCAAAAAAAAATGTATTTGGTTATTTAGGTATGGGTTTATGCTATGTTATCTATAGGTTTACTAGGTTCAATTGTATGGGCGCACCACATGTTTACTGTTGGTTTAGATGTAGATACACGCGCTTACTTTTCAGCAGCTACTATGATTATTGCGGTACCAACGGGTATTAAAATATTTAGTTGGTTAGCAACTTTTATGGGGAGGTTCTCTAAAATTTGAAACACCTTTATTATTTGTTTTAGGTTTTATTTTATTATTTGTTATGGGCGGAGTAACTGGTGTAGCTATGTCGAATTCGGGTTTAGATATTGCATTACATGATACCTATTATATTGTGGGGCATTTTCATTATGTATTATCTATGGGTGCTGTTTTTGGTATATTTACTGGATTTTATTTTTGGATTGGAAAAAATTTCTGGTCGTAGATATCCTGAAATTTTAGGACAAATTCATTTTTGGTTATTTTTTATTGGGGTAAATGTTACCTTTTTTTCCAATGCATTTTTTAGGGTTTAGCGGGGTATGCCTAGAAGAATCCCTGATTTTCCTGATGCTATGAGTGGGTTGGAATGCTGTAAGTAGTTTTGGGTTCTTATATTTCATTTTTTTTCAGCTTTATTCTTTTTTTTACATTGTATATGTAACATTAGTTCACGGTAAAAAAATTGAAAATTAAAAAATATAAATAATAGAATTCAAATTTTAAATAAAATAGCACAAATTTAATATACTTATAATTTAATACCACGATCTTAAATTATAATATTAAAAAAAATATATTCTTTAAGATATTTTAAATAATTAAAAAAATTAATAATATATTTATGTTATTACAAGCTTCTAAATTTTTAGGTGCAGGATTACGCTACTTTAGGATTAATTGGTGCTGGTATCGGTATCGGTAATGTTTTTGGATTCTTTAATTATAGGTATTTCAAGAAATCCTTCTTTACAACAAGAATTAATGAGAACTGCTATTTTAGGTTTTGCTTTAACTGAAGCAATTGCTTTATTCTGTTTAATGATGGCTTTTTTAATTTTATTTGCTTTTTAATTAAAATTAAATCCTACAAAATATAATAAAAATAAATTTTTATTATGCCATTTTTAGACTTTGTTGACGTAATTTGATTTATAGTAAATATCTAAATAATTTAAAAAAAAAAAATATTTATTTTTTTAATAATCATATAAAAATTTAATATTTA